GGATTCTGTAGATCATTTGGCACAGTACTTATTACGTCGTCATTCCATAGGTCATCAATGATCGGCGCAGTAAGGTTTATTTCAGACGTTGACAACGTGAAATATTAATACTATGTGAACTATGCATAGTATCAAAACTATGCAGAGAATCAGTATTATTCGGAGTATTGGAAGGATTAATTCTACGCATAGTATGAAGACTATTTGTGGTATTAGTAAAAAATGTGTGTAAAAAATTAATACTACATGAAGTATCAGAAGTATCAGAAATATCAGGAGTATTGGGAATATCAGAAGTATCAATGCTATATGCATTATGGGATCTTCTATCCTATAAAATAATTTTTAGCAGGAAATAACATAGTTTTCTTATAGTTCAGACTATCGTTCAGGTACCTAAATCAATTTTCAATCGCATATTTTTTAATATACTAGTAATTAAGCCAAAAAAAAAGCTATGACCAATGTATATACATTGAGAAATATCAATAATAATGATCGTCAGCTTGGTAGTGCATATGAGCAAGAGCTCGAAGAAGAATTATATTCTGCCCTTAAATCTAAAGCAGAAATCAATGATCTTAACAAAAAGTTAGTAGATAAGTATTCATGGCGAGAAAAGAAGTTCCAGCGATTTCATGCTGATATCAGAAATAAGGTTAGCCAGCTAAATGATGCAAATACTAAGCTTAAATCCTAATTTACTTCTGAACAGAAGTCCTATTCTGAGAGTCAATGTAAGCATGAAGCAGAATAAGCCAATTATTCTGCTGAAATCAAATCGCTTAAATCAAATATTAAAATACTAAAGAGAAAGGTAACTTTGGCATAGAATGCTTCATCTGCTGACAAGATTAAGATACTTTCTCTTGAAGCTAAGGTAGTTGAATTAGAAGGTAAGTTACTAGATCTGGAACTAGAATGTGATTCGTATATAGTAGGAGGATTACTAGAAAAGCTGGTCCAAATAAACTCATTTGATCCCAAAGAAAACAATTCTCTCAGGCTTGAATTGAAACAGGCAAAGGATGATTTATCCTCAAAAGATCTTTCTAATCCCCTACCTATAAACGATTCATCACAAAAGCTACCAGGTTGGATCAGTAACGATTTAAAACCCTTCGTCTATAAGCTTGGTCTTGAAAATAAAGTATGGAATTCAATAAAAGATTTGCTAGTGAAAATGTATTGGAGACTTTACAAGAGCTATTTACCCTGAAATGAGATAGTTTCGAGAAGCCAGACAGATACTATATCCAATCAATCTGTTCATAGTTGACCAGCACATTCTGAAAAGTATATTTCAAGTGAAGGGGTTGCGAAGCAATCAGATAGTGCAGAAGTAGTGCTACCAGCCCAAGTAATGCCTCTAGCACCAGTTATCTCTATCATTGCATATTCTTTGATGTCACTGTTGATATCATATACCATACTTACTTTACTATTTCTTGCAATTATATGGATCATTGGGAAAAAAATATGGGATTCATGGAGCAATAAGCTGAAAGTAAAAAATAATACCCCTTCTAACTGGAACTATTTTTTATCGTCTCCGGATATTTCTGAGGCTGGGTTATATGATCGGAGACTGGAAGTTTAGAGTGATCATTTTAGGCCAGAAGTTCAAAGATAGGAATTGAAGTTAGCTGGTATTATTGCACGAGAAAATATATGTAAATAATATTGTGCGAAACGCCTTACAACTAAGTTTCTTAGCTGAAATTTTCACACCTCCGCTAAAATACTTAATAATATAATTCAATAATTTCGTCTATATTCATTTCAGACGAATTATCTTTTTTGTCATCCTGTAACTTCAATAACGTTCGATAGCATATGATTTCTAGACCAACCACTCTGTACCATGTGTTTCACAAATCAGTTAGTAATTTACACTCACCTGAATAATATAATAAATATTGTTCTATAGTCATAGCTTTTGATTTGCGCTTACTGGTTTTAGTAACTAGTTTATACATTTCTTCTTTGTATTGTACATCGATCTTAGAAATTGTTTTGAGCAATGATGAAAGTTTTAAGCGGATAAAATCCTCTTGCTTATCTAACGCATTGAGGAAGGAAGTGTAATAAGCATTATTTTTTGCGCATTTTATTATTCTTTCAGCATAAGTAGTATCAAATAAAGTTTTCACGTAAATGCAAGCTCCTTTCTATAGATGAGATATAATTGCTTCATCTTTTTTTGAGACTTCATAAAGGTTTTTGATATAGCCTCCAACCCACTTTTCAGCCGATTTCTGCACTAAAGCATCTCTTATTTTGATACCTCATCTTCATCCATTTCATCTTCCAGGTCATCTTTATCCACTACACCATCATCCACTTTATTGTCACCTGTTTTATTACCATCTTTTAACTTTTTTAAGGCCTCCAGTACAATTTTATATGATGGTTAAAAACTTTTATCATAATTAATAAATCATGTACAGAGGCCGATAATGGTTTTCAGATAATAGCTGATATTGATCTTTTTGCCTAATCACCTCACTACTTCTAGATACTCCATTTTATCCCCTACCTTCTGTGATGAATCATTCTCAACTACAATATACTTAATCGTTCGCCTGGTTCTAGGATTTCATAAAGATAAGGCTCAGATGTTAAGCCCTTTTTTTATGTACCATTTGACATCTGCTTCTTCACATGTATGTCTATCCCACATTCGTGAAATGAAATGCTGGACATTCTTGTTATTTTTATTAGGCTTCCACACAGCAGTTTTAACCATCCCATTAAGGTCTATCTGTAAAATATCATTTATGATCTCTTTGAGTACGTCCTCTACAATCTGATGTAAGGTATGCGAATTATCCACCTTCATAGATTCATTCATGACCTTCTTACCCACCCCACAAAAGTGTTTAGACTGCCCTGCTTTACAATCTCAACCCCTCGAATGAAAAGCTTATTATTAAAGCTGGGCTCTCTTCTATGTGGGATATCATAGTATTTTTTCTTTTCAGTAAATACTACCGGAAATAAGACTTTCTCATATGCCATTTTGAGATAAGATGATCCATTATCATTTCTGAGAAAGTCATTAACTTCATCATGAAGTTTTTCTATTACTTCCATAGAGATGTTCACTATTCTAGACCAATATTCTTCTTTCGAGATCCCATTACCATTGTCATATGCCTTATCACATTTCTGAAAGTATTCTTCTGGACAGATAAGATATAATGAATCTGTATCCCCGTATTTATACTGAACCTTTTACTTCTAACAAGATCGGCAATAAGCTTGATATTTTGCTGTCCAGCTGATGTTACTCTGCCTGCTAATACTCACAAGAAGAAAGGAGATCCACTATTCCCAGCTTCACCATAAAATGTATTTATATATATTTTTAAAGCAAGCTGTTTTGCATCTAGACAAGTGATATTAAAGACAACTAAAGAGTATTCAGATTTTAAAGTATCTATAATAACTATGCCTCTTTCTTCCACCAAATTAATCTTCTTTTCTAATTCTTCTTTTTTATTATTTAATAGAGCAAAATGTCTTTTTAGTGAATTTCGTCTAATACGCAACTCCTATAATACTTTTGGATAAAGGCCTTTTATTTTGGCTTAGTTTCTATATTCTATAGATCATGCGAAAACATCACGACTATTGAATTTGAAATTAATTTCATGAAACTTTTTACCAATTTCCTTTAAAGATTCAGAACGCTCTCAAAATAAAATGATTTTATCAGGTGAGAGATTGTATGTTATGATAAGACTTGGATACAATGATGCAAAATCTAAGCCAGTCACAGGGCATTTATTTTTGAGTCCCTTTACCAGTGGAAAAACATAGGCCCCAGGAAACTTCCCTGTTTCTATTTGTTCATATGGAATTGTGCTAGTTAAAATCCCTTCCTACCACGTACCGGCACTTAAAAGATTGCGTACTTTCATTCCTACTGCAAAATAATGTGAATCATATAATGATATAAAGGCTACAGATGCTACCTCTCTGTGCTCATTAATTGCATTACGCTTTACCATTAACCGCTGATAGCTAATAGCATCAATAATACAATATTTGGCTATTTCACGCATCTGCTCAGCCGTTGTAGCATTTGTTTCATTTAATGCCTTTTCATAATATTTGTTCATATGGTGAATAGGCATATTCAATTTACTTTCAAGCCCAGATTCATTTAAGTAAAATGCTAGGCTACTCTTTTCAGCTTTGGGATGAAATCCCATAAAATAGGGTCAAACATCAATAGCTATACATCCCGAAATTTTAAAATGCTTTGAATGAAATTGTTCATCATTAACCTTTATCACATTATATTGATATTACCATTTTAAAATTTTCTCAATACCAGATGGCTTGATTAACATATGATTAAACATCCATTCAAGAACTTCCAACTTCTTAGCTTTCTCCACAATAAATCACCAATTATATTGAGAATCGTTAAAGCCTATTTGTATATCTGAGGCTAAAAGTTTATAGCATAAAGTGAATGCTTTTAATAAATTAACTTGAGATCCGCATATAATCGTAATCAACTGTGAGTCTGGTGCAGTTTCAATGTCAATAAGACAGATTTGCTTTAACAGTTCAGGATCATCTTTCCAATGAACTGTCATACAAATCATGAACACAATATCTTCTTCGTATTTTGCATTAGGTATATCACCCATTTTTCGTGAACTATATATTTCAATATCCCATATGAGAACAAGAGTGCAATCTTGTGAAAGTGCTGAGGAAAATAATGGATTATTATAATCGTCTTCACTGATTGGATTGTAATTGTTTACAGATACTTGGAAGGAATAAATATTTGCCGATGAATTTCCTTTGTATGAATAGTTACTTAATACTGCTTAGCTTAAAAGAGGTAATCTTTTCTCATGAGTTACTTTGCGATAATAGTATGTAGGATTTAGGTCATCAGAAGCGATGCTAATACTAATTTCACAAATTATTTTTAATGCCTTATATCAATCAAAATGATTCCAAGTAGTAACACATATATATGGTTTCTTTTCTGTATGATACCCTCGAAATGGAAAAGTGCTAATATGCTCAATCCCAAATTTTGATATACATTTGAGGGTATTAGACAGTATATTTACTAATCTGGTCTTAAATGTAGATAATGATGTCTCTTTAGGTATTACTATATTAAAAAAAGGTTTAATACCCATAATATTCACGATAGCCTTTTGCTTATTAATCAAGCAACAACTAACACGTAAAATATAGGTGAATACTCCATTAATATTTTCAGCCTCATCACTTACAGCAGTAGGTATAAAATGTATGGGTTGCTTGCCGGATAGGCTTTGTTAAAGTATAGTGGTCATCCCATTATTGAATTCTGCCACAATATCATTACGTGATGGGATACTAACTATAAACTCGGCACTGTCGTAGTGGGTGAGTATTAGGCCAGATTCAGTGCGATCAGTTTGGTCAAAAATAGTTAGTGTATGCATGATAGTTCAAAAAGTTATACTATCTCAATATATTTCAAAAATGTTTAATTTATTTTTTTGATGAATGCAAAAGAGATGTATAGTGATCTTAGTCAACAAATTGTGAAAGAAGACCATCTGTTATATAACTAAAATATGAAAGTTTCTACAGAATTATATTATATAAAATGGCAGAAGCCTTTATATAAACTTAGTAAAAAAATTATAGAATAAAGGCATTTAGCTGTATCTGAAAATGTGTAGCCTTCTCCATAATTATATTATATAAAAATGGGAGAAGGCTACACTTTTCTAGATATGTACTCAGGTATAGCAAAGGCTTCTTTGGCACAAATTTTGCAGGAGAAAAGCTTACCCTGATTCTAAAGAAAATTGTTAGACTATTTTCTGCAAAAGCTATAGCAAACTTAGTCAGCAAAATATAAAAGAAAGGCAACTGTATATATATCTAAAAGTGTAACCTTCTGCAGAATTATATTATATAAAATAGCAGAAGGTTACACTTTTCTAGTATGTATCTAGGTATGGGTATGGGTATGGGTATGGGTATGGATATGGGTATACAAACTTAATAAACAAATTAGCAAGAGAATCGCAGATAAATTGATTCTTAGTAGGTAATATTTAGGGTAGCCTTCTCTATAATCATTATATAAATATTGGAAGAAGGCTACCCTATTACTAGTATGTATCCAGGTATGTGTATTAGCCTTTGCGAAATATAAAAGTATACCAAAAAGAGGCGATAATATGGAAGACAAGTAGATATGTATCCAGAAGATAAGTCTTTTGTAGAATTATATTATATAAAAATGGCAGAAGACTTATATCATATATGATATGTATTCGGCTATGATATAGTCTTTGCATAAGACTTATTCGCTTAATTTTAGCCAGAACTTTAGGCATAATAACTCGGCATTCAAGCTGGCATAAAAGTGGACTGAAACTGGCAAATAAATAGAATCTTTTAAGCATCCAGCCAGTTCCTTACCAGTTTCTCAATAGCTTCACAGTAGTTCCAGGATACTACCAAGTCACCATAATGATGCTAAGCTGGATCCTCAAATCTCATGCCTAAAAAATCAGTCAAAATTATTGCATAATGTCAGCTAAAATTAATTGCAAATCCACTGCGCTACCTGTCGTCACTTTTTTTATACCATTTCACTATTTTGAAAGACAACCAAATAGGTGCAAAGGGTAAGCATCTCAATATAAAATCTAGCACTCAGTCAGGTGCAGAAGGCCAATAACCTTAACATGAAACCAAGCATCCAAATAAGAATGAAAAGCCGATACCAACAATATAGAATTTAACATATAAACGAATTAGGAATAAGAAGAAAGCAGTAACAATTAGATCATAACATCACCATTAATTTAAAGCAAGACCATCTACTGTTAGACTATGAAATCACCATCATATTATACAGGAAATGATTAAAATAATGTAATAAATGCAAAGAAGCCACCCATAAGTAGATTATGAAGTTACTATTAGATTACGAATGGTAGGTTATAAAGTTACTATCAAATCATGAATTTAGATTATGAAATCACCATCATATTATAAAGTTACAAGCAGACTATGAAGTTACTATTATAACATGAAGTTACCAATAGACTATGAAGTTATCATTATATTATGAAATTACTAGCAGACTATGAAGTTACCTTCATGACCTAACTCAAGTCGTATGTGACTTTCATAATATAATTATATTATGAAAGTCACATGCGACTAAAACCATTAAAGGAATAATATTTCTTATAAAATTAAGAATTTTCTGATGAAAAATAATATATACTGGCCTACAAAAAGTATTCAGATTTTATAAAATTTACTTAGTAATATATAGTAAAATTGAAGATTTTAGACTGCTTAAATATTTATGAATTTTCATCAATATTCAGCCAAAATTTTTTTATTTGAAAACTAATCAATATAATTTTAAAAAATAAAAAATTTTAAAGCATCAAAAAATTTTCTTATAGCAAAGTATAAGTAATAGTTTTTTTTATATGTTTTTTTCATTTTTACATATAAAATTATTTTATCTATTACTTTAAAAATATATTTTTTTCTTCTGTTTATATTTTTAAAAATTATAATTAATTGGCTTTCAAATAAAAAAATTTTAGTTGGATTTTGATGAAAATTCATAAATATTTATGCAACCTAAAAATTTTTAATTTTACTATATATTATTAAGTAAATTTTATAAAATCTGAATACTTTTTGTAGGCCAGTATATATTATTTTTCATCAGAAATTCTTAATTTTATAAGAAATACTATTTCTTTAATGGTTTTACTTCTAAATTTATTTTTTAATTAAAATATTTTTTATTAATATAATAATAATTTTATAAATTTTATAATAAATTTTATGATGTTTTCTAAGCAAAATCCAAAAAGAAAGATGCTATTAATTAATAATTTTTTAAGAATAAATAAGTAATGAATTATTATAAAAATAATATTATTTAAATCAGAATATCACTATATATTAATCTTAGAAATATGAAAATACCACAGTTTAATACTTTTTATAAGAATCTAATAAACTGAATTATATTTTTCTGATAAAAATTATTTTTAAAGATTTAAAATATTTTAAAATAATATAATTTTTGATTTATTGATACTAGAAATATAATTAGATACGTCAATCTAATAAAATTTTATTATAATTTTTAATGAATAATTTTATATTAACCATTTAAGGGATAATATAATCAATTTATCAAACGTTATTTAAAATCAATGTTTTAATAATAAATTTTTTTATATAGTTCTAATATAAAGCAAATTATACTCTATTAATATTTGATAAATTGCCTGCGAATGAAATTCTTAGAATTTAAAGTTCGATGTCAATCGTGTTCATTCTACATCATCAAATTTATAAGGAAGTTGGGCGCTGACGCAGTTCTTAAAAATTTGTTTTAAAGAATAGATATTCTAATTTATTTTTCTTGAAAACTTTAACTTTAAATATTATATAAATGACTGACGAAGAGAGCTGCAACGATACAGAAGTTCTTGATGAAGAACCACGTAGCATTTTGCTGGGACTCATCTCGCAATTACGCAAGGGAATGGACTTGCATCGAGTTACCTTACCAACATTTGTATTAGAACCACGGAGTATGTTAGAAAGGATCACCGATTTTATGAGCCATCCAGAATTGATTTTAAGGTATGTCCTTTGCAAGATATTTATAGACTAGCGGATCCGCGCTAGAACTCTTCCTTACTGAGCAGGTCAGCTTGGAGAAATTTTCAAGTTACTGCGCACCAAATGTTTAAGTCGATTATTTCAAAATATTTTTGTTTTTCTAGTGTCTCAAAAGAAAAAGACCCTGTTGAACGGTTTGTGAACGTGGTGAGGTATTACTTATCTGGATGGCATATAAAACCAAAGGTACGGATCTTCATTTCATATATTCTCGAGAACAAATAAACTTTATAATAAAAAATATTCTCGTTACAGGGTGTAAAAAAACCTTATAACCCCGTATTAGGCGAACACTTTCGTGCACGATGGCAATTTTCTGATAATACAGAAGCTTTATTTGTATCTGAACAAGTTTCTCATCATCCTCCAATTTCAGCTTATTATTATGCAAGCCCCGAAAATAACATAATTATCTCTGGAGATATACGACCAAAATCCAAATTTCTCGGGAATAGTGCGGCAACTTTGATGCAGGGTGAATCTAAAATCTTCTTCACTAATCTTCCTGGAGAAGTTTATCGGATTGCAATGCCAAATGTTTACGCACGGGGTATTCTTTTTGGGAGGATGGTATTAGAATTAGGTGATAATTCTACGGTTAAATGTGAAAAGAATGATTTGGTTTGTGAATTAGAATTCCGGACAAAGGTAATTTATTTTAATTTATTTTATTTTTCGAATAATCATTCAATCCCACTATGTCTCTCTTAATAAAATTTCTATATTATTTTATTTTATAAGGGTTTTTTTACGGGCGCGTATAATTCGATTTACGGAAAGATAAAACGTGAATCTACAGGAGAATCTCTTTATGAAATTACCGGAAAGTGGTCAGACACTATGTATATTAAGGATCTTCGGGTAAATCACATTTATAACTTATGATGATTTATATCACATTAATAATTATATTAAATTTCATTAAAATGTTAGACTGGACATAAAGAAGTTTTATTTAATGTTCACGAATCTAAGATATATCCAAAGATTGTGACCCCAGAGGAAGAACAAGAAGAAAATGAATCTCGACGGTAATTCTTTTCACAATATAATCATAAATATTAATATAAATATATTGTATGATCTAAGATATATAAATATGTTGTGTAGTTTATGGTCAAAAGTTACAAATGCTTTAATAGGGAGGAATCTGGATCTCGCTACGGAAGAAAAAACGCTGATTGAAGATAACCAACGTAATGAAGCCAAGCTTCGAGAAGCCGAAGGAATTGATTGGAGACCCAGATTTTTTTTAAGTGAAAATGATGAATTTAAATTCAAACAAACTTCCCAGTAAGAATCTATTCGTAAGTTATTTCTATTATAAATTTCTTGAATAACATTTTTTTTTTTTTTGATTGTTCAGTCTTTCAAAAGACCCCCAGGGCGCAAAGCATCAGATCGAATCTTTTATTTTCTCTTCGAATTCACCACCCGGTTTCCATTCGCCGAATGGACCCTATCATCATCATGACGATTAATTATATATTAATATGTAGAGATATAATGAGTTGTTGGAGAGCTTTGATGACATTGATATAGAATACCGCTGTCCTCTATTGAAGAGGATCAGTTACAAATTAGCTATTTTAATTTTAGCCCCATACCGAATGTTTTTTTTGGATTTTGATAGAACTTCAACATGAATTTAGAAATTTGATGTTATCTTTTTTATTTTTATTATTGTTCATGAAAAAGATAAATATTAGATGATGAAAGACATTCGTAATTACTAACTATGTTCATTATGGATATTTGTCAGGTATTTCTGATAATTACCCTTCTTTTTGTTAATATGTGTAATATCTCCATCATTTACTCAATTCAAAATGTTAAATTTAATCATTGTTCGAAAGAAATTTTATACTATTTAATCATTATGTACGAGAACGATTGAATAATATTTAATAAATAATTGACATTATCGTACGGTTTCATATGAACATAACGTGTTATAATTTTAGACATTTTTTATTATTTATTGATTAAAGTTTATATAACTATTTATTTTATTGATTATACTAATTATACTAAAAGTAATATTACAATATACATTTTATTGATTCATTTCATATAAAAAATATTATTAAAAGTAGTTTCTTGTAAGCATGCTTCATCCAATTGTATAATTTGTGAACCTTTAATTTCTTGAAAAGGATGCGAGGTTTTTCTGAATTGATGGTGGCGAGTTGGTATTTTCTAATAATATATGAAATACCGCTCTATAGTACCCCTCTGTATAATCTCTGGAGCAGCTTAGAATGTAAAGTACAAAAGGAAATTGATATACCGCTACCGCGCGTCAATGTTAATAAATGTAATTTGATTAATTCAAATGTAAAAAATATTTTTTATTATTACTATAATATGTAAGTTATTTTTTCTAGCAAACAATTACATTATCTAAATTATTCATAACCAGCAACAAAATCATCATATATGGTATCTTAAAACACTTCATTACTTGGATTATCATTTTCATCATTTAAAAAAATCATAATCGAAAATAATATCATCATCTGTTCCATCTTTTGCTATAGAAATACCATAACATTTGAAGGATTTTTTAAATTTTTGCTATCCCAAGCAACTTTAACCCATTGTACTACTTTATTATAAGCCTTTTAATTCTTCCAGCAGGAGAACTTCTTCAGACATCCATTCATTATATAAATCATGAATTTAATAAAACAATAAATTATTAAATAAAATGAAATTTTAAAAAAATAATCATAAAAAAAAATGTTTTACCTTTGATTTAATATTTATTAATTCAATATCTAAATGGTTGAAGTCTACCAGTTAATCCTTTCAGAAATTACTATAATTTGTTTGTTTTTCATCAAGTTTATTTTTAATACTATTAATTAAATGATCACAAAAATAATCAAATAATAAGACTTCTTAGATTATTATTTATACCTCTCCTATTATATCACATATTTCAATTCACCAAAACATTTCTTCTACATTACTTAACCTTATTCATTAACATGAATTTTTACTTTATTAAAAAAAATTTCACAAGAAATATTATTACTATTTGTCATACATGTCAAAATTATTGTAAAACAATTTTTTTCATAACTAGTTGACCTAATACTAACTGTTATAAATCTGATTCTAATGTTATTAAAGATGATAAATCAAAATTGAGAGAAATTTCATCAAGTTTAGCAATTTAATTGAAAGAATAATCATATTATGTATATTTATAAAGAATAAATCTCTAAAATAAATATTGTTATTCAATTAAATCTTCTAGTAATTTGTGGAAAATAGTTGTTTTTCATCTATTAGATAAGTTATTTCTACTAATAAAACTATCTAACCACTTGTTAGAAAATTTAAAATTTTGAATTGTCAGATAAATTGTTTTATTTTATTAATTTCTACCAGTTTTTTACTTTTTCATAACTATATTACAAGTTACAGCTTTATATTTCTACTTTAAATCCTAAATCTATTAAAATAGTATTTCTAACTTAGGTAAACTTAAAAATCTTACTAAATATAACTTTTAATATATAGGCTAAAAATATAAATTGCTTCCTTTTTGATTTCTTATTTATTTTAGTTTAATATTAATCCTTTTTGCAATAGCTTTTTTACTTTAAACTTTTTATGCATAATGTAATATCAAATTGTTTTATAATAATACCATTATTATTGAAATTTTTTAATAACATTAGGTATGCTTATAATATTACAGTGAACTCTTGATATAACGAATTCTAGGATCTGAAAATCAACTTCGTTATAAGCTTATAATGAATTTTTTAAAGAATTTTAATTGGTTAGTTCACTATAGTAAGGTAATTTTAATATATTTGATTTAAAAATTCGCTATATCAAGGGTTCACTATATCAAAGTTTGACTGTATTATTAATTATCACCATAGTTTAATTTAAAAAATTATTGTATCATTTTTATTAATATATATTGTGAATTATAGTATTCCTATGCAATATTATACATGAATATTGTATTGGTAAATTTTAGTAGATATAGGACATATAAAAGTTTATATTTAGGATTGTATTTATAAACAGTTAAGACATGAATTGATATTAAATATCTTTTGGTCAGAATTAATAAGAGATATAGATAGCATTAATATGAACAAAAAGTTTTACACTAGTCAAAATAATCCATTTTATTATTTTTTAAAATGCTGAATATTGGCTGAAATATAGTCTAATTTCTGCTAATTATTACTAATTAAATCAGCATTTTTAGTTATAGCTGAAGTTGCCTATTTTCATGCTACATAAAAGATTATTTGACATTAATGTTTAATACAATCAGCTTAAATTCATTTAACTAATAAAACAAGCAAAATTCAACTTGTTAATAAAATATTCAGTTATAATTTGACTATATTTGATAAAATCAGCTTAAATTCATTCAACTAACAAAACAAATAAAATTTGACTTATTAATAAAAATCAGTAATATTTCAGCTACAAGTAATCAAAAAATCATTAAAATAAAATTTCTGATATTTAAACGATCTTATTAATATTTATTTTGCATTTAAACAATTTATTTATTTTATAATAACATAATTTAGTCAAATTAATAAATAATTTATTAAAATATAAAATAAAATATAAATAAAATATAATTATAAATATAATAAATACAAATATTGATAAACAATAAACTAAAAATTTGAAGACAAAATTCACTATAATAAATGTTGAATTTATTTTTCTTATTTAATATCATCATTTTAATTTTTGGCTTCAGTAACTGGTACTGAAAAGTCAGTATCAGCTGGAGTCTTTTGATCTATAAACATCCATTTTGAGAATATTAAATATGTATTATAAAATAATCGCTATAATTTCAAGTTTTTGTTAATTGTGTAGTTTAAAGTGAGAATACACAATGGTTGACCTCTTACAATAACGTTCTCAACTAATAAAATTAAATATTTGAATTAGTTAAATTTTTAACAAAAATTATAAATAAATTTCTAAAAAAGTATTGAATCTCATTTGATCTTCAACTCAGATTATAAATATTAACTGTTTGTATTGCTGCCTCTTCTAAATCTGTCTCTAAATCTTCAGGAAAATAATAACGAATGTTTCCTAAAATTGATAATAATTCTTTCTTGTCATATTTCAAAACTCACTCATCATCCAAATCGAAAAGCAAATTAGTACCTTTAATCCTTCTGATCTTTTTCTATATTAAAAATATTGAATGTTAATTGAAGTTTTTTTTAAAAAAAAATTAATTTTGATTATATTTATCCCATTGGTGTAATTGTTTTTGTATAATCGTGATTATTATAATCTAAAATACTATATTATTTATATAATAAATGAATTCGTCAATTCTTATGAAAGAAGTTAAGACACTCTCTGACTTATTTGTATGTTATTTTGAATATTTTTAAGGTATTGATAAGATCATATCTCATTTCGAGATTAGTCAGTAGTGTTTTTAATATCATTCTCATTTCAATTTAAATTATAAAAAATAAAAGCTGATTTAAGTTAATTTGATTGATGTCAATTATATTAGATTAAAAATCAGTTTAAAGTTAAAGTTATTTTAATTAAAATTCAGAAGAGATTTTAAATGAACCTTGATTGTATTATTATTATAAGACCTCTTTTTATCACTTTTGTTATTACTACTATGTCAAGTTACTTTTTTTAACAATCTTTGTCTGTCTCTTTATCTTTATATCTTTATTAGCTTTGTCTGATTTTATTTCGTAAACTCTCTTTTTGATAAATAAATGCTTTATTATCTGCAGTAACTTTGCTGAATTTCATCCTTAAATCTCTTAATTTCTCATTTGTATTATTAAGTTATCTGCTCAACTCGTAAATTCTTCTGCTTTTCTATAGAAAAGTTAACAGTTTATTGATTAAAAATACATATTAGTTAAATTTTGCAATAAATTATACTTATCTTCACTCAGTGAAGAATTGAATTACATTTCTTTCATTATATTCTAATCCTTAATATTATGTGTAATAATATAGAGAATATTAAAATTTATTATCTCAAGAAATATCAAATTGTCAATGATAAGGAGTTATATTTCTTTTGCTATTCCTTTCATCATGATGTCTTTTGTTACCTATTTGCTAACATGTTAAAGACCTTTTAGATAACCTATAATAGGGAGCTAATAATATTTGCAGATTCTGATTATCAGCTTTTAGATTAGCATTACTAATTATACTAGCGATTGATATTTTGCTATGTTGATATTCATTTTCGATCCTGTAATTAAGCGAAATATCATAATCTCCATCTGATCAAATTAGAGTTGAGGTTGAATTTTAGTCATTTCCTTGGAAATACTAAATGACACTACTAATTTGAATAGACTTTTATTTGTTGAATCCTACTGATGTGAAAATTTTGGTATTTTCTGTTGACTTTTAGTTGTCAGAACTAGAGTTCTGAACAGGTTAGGTCTAATCAGGTTATTGACTTAACTTAACCTAA